GGTGCACAGTCCGCGCAGTCCCTGGCTGGCAGGGTGATTTTTAGGTTAATTCTTAGGTCCTACCACCAGTCGGGTATCTCCGAGCCACCTGCACTGTCAGGGTCACTCAGTTCACTGTCAGACCGCAGCTCCGTAGGTCGCCTTTTTTTGGTATTTTCACGCAAATTCTTCTGCTAGTTGGGGTTTAGTCCAATTCTGCATCCTTTCCTTCAAACCTCAGGGGTCCAAGATTATCTTCTGTGTCTGTGTTAATTGGTTTCCCTTTCCTTTGTTGAAGAGGGTCTGTGCAATAGTTCTGCCTAGTCTGCCATCTTGCTGGAACACCCCTGGAAAGCTTTTAAGACCCCAGTGACTACTCACCAAAGTAGGTTGTGGAACAAGATTTTTATGTATTTTGTTGTGCCACTTGAGTCTGGTATCCCCCAGTACTATGGTCCTGAGTTGGCAGGTCTGGTAGATCTCTCCCACAGTGTCTGGCTGTCCATGAGGGATTGCTCTGTCTTCTGTTGTTTCTGTAATGATTATGGGTATTTTGTATCACTAGTATCTGTACAAGTTTAGCCTCAGCTGAATCTGTCTTTGTTCTAGAGTAAATCCTGTTCACTGACCCCCATCTGATCTTCTCAATTGTCTATGTGTTTATCTGTTGTTTGGTGTTAATGGTAATGCAGTATTGTGGATATACTGGTATTAGTCTCTGACGTCTAGATCTTATGTGCACAATTTGGTGTCCTCCCTTTCCCCAGTGTTATCATGCTGGTCACAGATTCTTTCCATGCCATCCCTCCCCTTACCCAACTCAGTGTATGGTCCCCAAGTAGTCTGAAATTATCCTCTCTCCTTCCCTCCCATTCCCAGTAACCTACAAAGTGAGTTCCCTTCCCTAATCAAACCCTTCCTTGACTTTTCACAGTAATGGGCTCATACAATATTTGTCATTCTAGGGCAATGGGTTCTGAGTTTGGCATTTGGTGGGCCTGAGAGCTTGATAGGAGTCCACTTCAGAAGTCAGCAGGGGTGAGGGTGTTAGATTGCTACACTGGACAAAGAACTGAGGGAGAAAGGGAAAATTGGGCCTGGCTCATCTAGAAGACCATTTCTGAAGAGATTGTCCTTACCTAATGTAGGGCTTTAGTGACCAGAGAGAGACTGGGAGGGAAAAAGTCAAGGACAGGGAGACAGATGAAAGATCTAGAAGAAGTGCTTCTCTGATTCTTTAGTGAAGGATCTGCTTTCTTTATTTGTAATAATGTTACAGATTAGTACTTCTGGGAAATGCACAGCCACACACTTGGACATTGTGACAATGCCAAGTTGTAAAGGTTTTAAAACTCTTGCTCTCAATTTCTATACTTATCTAGTTGTGGGCTGACATAATAGTTGGATACTGATCTAGTGAGAACAGAAACATAGTGATAGCTAACCGGCCTATACAATTTAGTATGTAGCAGGCATTGCTGTAAGCACTTTTAGCATGTGTTGATTTATATAATCTATAATTCATGTAAAAAGAACTATTATTATTTCCATTTTATAGAAGAGGAAAATGAGACACAGGGAGGTTTAAATTTAAGAAAGGTACACAAATAATTAAGCAGCAGAGCTGAGATTTGAACCCAGAGATTTTAGGTCTAAAGTTTGTGGCCTTAACTACCACTCCATACTGCCTTGCATTAGGGAAAAAGCAAAGACAGATTGGTAGGGTAGGGAAAATGAATGAATGATAAAAAGATGGAGGAAGAAAGGGTCATAAGCCAGTGTGAGAAAATATGCCAGAGAAAGAGAAATAAGGAATAAGGTAGGCAGAGTGAGAGAAAGGGTAACTATGTGGCCAGAGAGATGGAGAAGACAAATTGAGGGGAGAAAGTCCAACTGCCAGGGATGCTGGGATGAGGCATCAGGGCAGAGGGAACAGAAAAGCGGCAGGGTCCCTGTGGGAAGCTGTTGGGGGTGGAAGTGGAAAGCCCTGCCTGGCTTGGAGGTCTATCCTGCTTGGTTCAATTCAGCCCCACTGAGGGTGCCCAGGTTTCATAGTGGCTGTGCCTGCTTACCCACAGGGAGCTGCTTCCTATGCCTGGTGGATGTGGTGCCTGTAAAGAATGAGGATGGGGCTGTCATCATGTTCATCCTCAACTTCGAGGTGGTGATGGAGAAGGACATGGTGGGCTCTCCGGTTCAGGACACCAATCACCGTGGCCCTTCCACCAGCTGGCTGGCCCCAGGTAAATGCAGCCTCATTCCTGAGGCCATGAGGCTATCCAAAACTCTTTAGAAGTGGGGAGACCATGTCAAGGAGTGGCCTGGGCCTTCTTGGCCCAGGATGGACAGATCGGGTGGAATGACAGGGCCCAGAGCCACAGGTCCATAGGGCAGGATAGCCCGTGTTTCCTAGCCTCACCTGCTTGTGTTCCCACACAACGTCCCCTGAGACCACCCCCCCCTTTCTCCAGCCTGTTTCTGAGAAGCCCCTTGGGAGGGCACATCATTCCCAGGTGGCCTATGCTACCTCTGAATGCCCCTTCTGCTCTTTAGGAAACTCTGTCTTGCATGGACCCCAGACTTGCTCTACCCCTTGGGGCTTGTCCCTGGACAGGACCAGTCCCATTTTCTACCATGGCCTTGGCTTATCTAGGAGAGGGTTTTTAAAGGTTTTTCTCACCTGGCCTGGAGATGTGGTGGCCTTCTCTCATCCCCTTGGTGACTTACAGCCTCAGACAACACCTGCATCCTGCCCTGCAAAATGGCTTCCTGGGGTTTAATTTTTCCCTTAGATTCATGGCAAAGTATTATACCTCTTGGCTCTAATAATATTGATACTTCTGGCCCCACTTATTCTGTAGATGCCTTGAAAGGTTGTAGAGTTTGGGGGAAAGGTGGTGATGGTACCTCCAGTTCAGACACAGGCTCCATGTACTGTGTGCTGGTGATTGCATCACACAGCTCATTGATGCTGCCATCTCCTCCTCTATTAAATGGGGATAGTGATGCCCACCTAGCTGTGTGGTATTAATCAAGAATAAGGTATGTGTGGAGTCTACCTCCATGCCTGCTCAAGAAGCGGTAGTCTATTATTAAGTCTTAGGTTAAGGTGGTATTCTAAAAATGTTATAGAATTTGTTACCAAGGTCTATACAGTGGGATGGGATGGAAGGGTGCTAGCTGCCCACTGCCTGGCCATCACTGTGGGGACTCTAGCCCCAGGCCTCCCAGTGCCCATCTCCCACAGGTCGAGCCAAGACCTTCCGCCTGAAGCTGCCTGCTCTGCTGGCATTGACTGCCCGGGAGTCATCCTCGAGGCCTGGGGGCCCAGGTGGCACGGGAGCTTCAGGGGCTGTGGTAGTGGATGTGGACCTGACATCTGTGGCACCCAGTGAGTCGCTAGCCCTGGATGAGGTGACGGCGCTGGACAACCATGTGGCAGGGCCCCTGCCAGCTGAGGAGCAGCACTCACTTGTAGGCCCTGGCTCGCCTCCAGCCTGCGCCCCTGCCCCTGGCCAGCACTCTCCACTGGTGCACAGCCTCAACCCTGATGCCTCAGGCTCCAGTTGCAGCCTGGCCCGGACCCGTTCCAGAGAGAGCTTTGCCAGTGTGCGCCGTGCCTCCTCAGCTGATGACATAGAGGCCATGCGTGCTGGGGCATTGCCTCCACCACCTCCGCGCCATGCCAGCACCGGTGAGGCCCAACTGGGGACTGCTTCTGGGGCACAGCAGAGTCAGCACCCATCGCCAAGTCAGCTTGTGCCAGGACCTCTGCTCCTTCACTCTCTACTACCTGGCATGTGTCTGGGAAGTGGAAATCCCATTAACCACTTATTTAATGTCATAAGTGGCCTTTTCTCCATTAAATATCCATTCATGCTATCATATTCTTGAACTCAGAGAGCCTTCACTGGCCCCTGAACCTAGCTTTCCAGGAGAGACTTGAGCTAAGATGACCATGGGAAGTCTGAGGGGCAGGAGAGGCACTGTGGGCCCTTGCTGCTCCCTGCCCCTCTGGTCAGTACCACTGTCCACTGACCAGGCCTTTCTTGAGAGCTTCCTCCTTTTCTGCCATTACTCAGTTTCTTCATGACTTGTTCCTTGGAGTGGGTGGGGTCAGACTTGCTTGTGCTTGACCAGGCTGTTTCTTAGTGACCCCTTGTCTCTTGAGCTGATCTCATTAGGTCAGCTGTACCCCATGTCCCTGCCTTGTGCTGGGCCTAGTGTCCACTCTAGCTCTTCCTGACAATGGCCTGGCTGCCCTCTGACCCCTCCATGCTGGCCTGACCTCACTCTCCCTCTCTACTCCAGGGGCTATGCACCCCCTGCGCAGTGGCCTGCTTAACTCCACATCAGACTCGGACCTTGTACGCTACCGCACCATTAGCAAGATCCCCCAAATCACCCTCAACTTTGTGGACCTCAAGGGTGACCCCTTCCTGGCTTCACCCACCAGTGACCGGGAAATCATAGCACCCAAGATAAAGGAGCGAACTCACAATGTCACTGAGAAGGTCACCCAGGTAGGTGCCCATCTCCTTGGCTCTCACCTCACTTTGGAGGAGCTTAGAGGAAGGGGATGGGGTGGGCAGGTGTCTGGCCAGGGAGGGGGAGTGCCTGAGGTCAAAAGGAAGGAGATAGCTGGTCCGTAAGGTCTTCATAAAGGTGTGCAGATCTGCTGGCTTGGAGGGGCTGTTCTAGAGCTAGGGTGAGTGAAGAAGAAGTCTGAGAGGGCCTCAAGAAAGGTGTGAGGGGAGGGGCAGGGCCAGGGGCAGGTACAGAGGGCGCATTGGTGGCTGTGTGGCTCAGAGGGTACAGAGTGAAGACACAGCATTGAGGCTAGACAGAGAAGTCCAGCCTTGAGAGGGCTAGGGTAGGCAGAGAAGGTAGCTCCAGGGATGTGGCAGGGTCTGGTTACGGTGTATGTGAGGTGGGTATTGGGGCAAACCAATAGGAGACTTTAGATTAGAAGGATCTGCTGAGGTGAGGTCAGGGGGATGTCTGGAGGATCCTGATTCTGCTAGGCCAAAGGGAAGAGCCAGGCAAAAGGTAGGGGCCAGTGCTACCAAGTATGGTCAGAATGGCCCCAGCTCCTACACTAGGCAAGAGGGAAAGGTCTGGTGTGGGTGCAAAGATATGGACAGGATCAAATCCCTGAGTCTTGACCGAAGAAGATTAGCAGGAGCCTTTTGGAGCATTGTCTACCCCTACCCCTGAGACAGGGCCATTTTGCCCTTGTGCCCCCTCCTGAGTACTGAGCCCTCCTGGCAGCAAGGTCATCTGCAACATCCCCACTCCCCAATCCATCCCAGCTTTGCCTCCTCTCCTCCCCACCCACCATGAGTGAGAAGACTGTCCCACTACTGCTGTTGCCCACTCCTATAGCCCTTCCATGCAACTCCCTGGCTGGCCTGTGTGAAGGAGCTGCTCTCACAGGGCTGGCCTCCCTGTCTACTCCTGGCTTTGCTCCCGCTGTCTCTGGTGCTCTGGGTCCCTGCCAGGCTCCAGCTCCTTGGCCTTGGCTCCAGAATGGTCCCCCTTTCCCCAGATCTCATATCTGGCTGCCCTCCCCTCTAGCTTTTCTACCTCGAGCCCCTAGCATCTGCCTTGCTGCTGCACCTGGCCTGCTGCCTGCTGGGGTATGGGTGCTTGTGCATGTGTTCTTGGCCTTGCTGTACCCCTTACCATGGCTGTTTCTCAGTCTCTGGTTGTCTCTGTCTGACTCTAGCTCAGCTCTCACTCAGACCAGCCAGGCGGAGTGTCAGGGAGACTATTAATCTGTGGTGACAGGCCAGCTGCCTAGTGGAGGGGGAGGGGCAGGGCTGTAGAAATGGCTGCAGCAGAACCCTGAAGCAGGCTGTGGGGGAGGGGTTAGCGGGCTTGGCACAGGGCGCAGGGGCGGGCACGGCAGGGGTGGCGGGTGAGGGTGGGGACCATGGAGAAGGAGGGGCCAGCTGCTGGTGCGGAGTTCTGACTGCGGCCGCACTGCTAGGCTGGTGGCGAGGGGCAGAGCACAGCACCCTGGCAGAGGGACCTACACCAGGGGGCCATGAGCAGAGTGAGCCTGGTGGGCTGCTGCCCATGTACATGGGCAGGGTGACCCCAGCCCCAGGGGCCCGGCCCCAGCCACCCTGGCTTCATGCCAGAGACTGCCCTGGGAGCCAGTCCGCTGGCCTCTGGGGCAGAGCCTGGCCTGGGACTGCTGTGAGGGTTCAGGTGGGGGCTGGCCGGTCCCTTGGGGCCAAAGCAGGCAGGTCAGGGGAGCCAAGTCTTCCATGACGACCACAGCAGGGAAAGCAAGCTGGACAGGGGCTCTGCAGGCCAGGGCCCAGAATGGCCGGGTGAGGCGGGCTGTTCGCATCTCCAGCCTTGTGGCCCAGGAGGTAGGTGACCCCTAGTCCTCTCCTTCCTGGGGCCGGGGTACTGAGGCAGGAGGTCAATGAGCAGGAAAGGGCCCAGACCGTCTTGTCCCTTGGAAGAACCAGGCTGGAAGAAGGCTTCTGAGAAGCAGGCAGTCAAGGGGTGTTCAGGCCTGCAACCCTGCTTTCTAGCCTTAACTTCTGCTTTATTTTCTTCAGGTCTGGTAGCTTGGGTGGTAGTGCTTTCTTCCAAGACTCTCCCATGCTGTGGCTTCTGTGGTCCATAGCCTTCTAGTTCAGAATGCAAAGGGAGGGGAAAACACAGGGCACACAGGGACTTATGAGGAGACTGAGAGGACTGGCAGGGGAGGGAAAGGGTACGGGCAGCAGGTGTGTATGGGGCTTGGGCTCCCCTACTTCTCACTCCACGCTACTGGGTGGACCCTGGGTATAGGAGGCATAGGCGTCCAAGGTTTGGAGCTAGAGTCCAGGGGGGTAGGGTCCAGGGAATGGGAGGGCATGCTGATCTGAGTGTCTTGGCTCACCTCTTCTGGGGAAGGGTAGCTGGACTGTGGTCTCCAGCCCAATGGCTTTATAAGCACCCACTGGGAGTACCTTTTGTCCCTAGCTGCTTTCTGGGGACCTCTGGCATAGAGATGGAGCAGTTCTGAGGAATAGATGGTGAGGGAGGGGCTGGAGGTAAGAATCCCTCTCCCCCTACCTCCCCACTTTCCCTCCCTTGTACTAGAATCAGGGGCCTTGGCATATATGCTTCTTATAGCTAGGGGACAGGTACAGATAGGCGTCTGCCCACCTCCAGGTGAGAAACCAGAATTTGGCTTAAATGAACTGCATTCTATAGGGAAATGGGTCAGGAGGGGTTAAGTGCCTGGGCCAAGGCCATATGGGCAGTGGATGTTGCAGAGCTGAGACAGGCACCTGTGAAAATGAGGTCAGTGGTTCTAGGCCTTGTGCTTATGTATGTGGGTGCACATACATGTGTGCCTGTGTTTATGTGTTGGTGTGTGTTGTAGGTGAACTTGGGAAGAGGGTTACTGATGTTGTGTTTGGTACAGCATAGCCCTAACAGGGCCTGGCCTCTTGCTAGGGAGGAGCCCTGCTCTAGGGGCCTGGACTATCTTCTGCTCATTTGTCTGCAGGGGCCCTGACTGGTTCTTTTTCTTTAACCTGTACTTGCCTCCTGAAAGGGCACCATTTGTGAAAACGTGTTCTCTGCCTTCAGGAGAGGCAACACAGGCTGAAGGCAGGGAAGAGGTAGGAGCCTGGGAACCCTACCACATGCCCCTCCTGGTCAGTGCTGAGGTGCTTCCCCCTCCACGCCTGGAACCTCTGTGGCTCCTGTGTTATGGCCCATCTTAATGTTCAGTTCTTTCCTTTAGGGAGTTTCCTCCAAATAGTTCCATCTTGTGAAAGTGGGTCCAGAGATCTTTGATTTGAGTATGAGTGGGGGAACCTAAGATAGGGTCCTGACAGGCATCATTCTGGGAGCCTAAAGCGGCTCTCAGTGGGGAGGAGCTGGGTGAGGCAAGGGTCAGGTTATGGGTAGCAGGGTCCAGGCTGGGGAGCTGTGGGGAGGGTCTTGGTTTTAATCATATGTCTGTATGAGAGAGGTGCTGAGGCTCAGACAGAGGCTCTAGAGGCAGAATGTGGGAGCTGGGTCTCAGCTCATCTTCACCTGGCTGTCTTGGATGTCCCTATCTGTGACTGTGAGTTGTACAGACTATCTGGCCCCTTAGAGTTTGCCTATGTGAACATCCCTGCGCGTGCATGTGGGCTAGATTAGGTATTCCTGTGTACCTTTGTAGGGGTAGGAGGGGGTGAAAATGGGCTGGGAGGTTAGAGGGCTGTGAGTATCTTGGCCTCTCCTTGCTGAGAGGCTAAGGGATCTGAGATAGGGGCTGGTACCTTTGGGCCAGTGGCATAAAGGGTTGTTTAGGCCCTTGGTCCATGGCTGCCCAGCAGTGGGACTACCACTATCATATATGCTGAGCCGATGCCCCCTGAAGCCATCATGTAGGCTGGGAGCCCCAGGCCTTTGACTGTTTTCTGGGCTGAGACAAGGGTGTGCTTGGGGGGGTAGCATCTAGGGCGAGGCAAGGTCATATGGTAGAGCTATGAGCATGGGCCTGCCTTGTTTGTGGAAAGCTTTACTTCTGGGTGTTACTGCTTAGTGCTCTGAACTCAGGTGTGCTGGAGCTGCCAGTCTGGCTGGAGCCAGGAGGAATCTTCATGCTGCATGGCATTCAGGGAACTGTACTCCCCAAGTCTAGGAGTAGCCAGTTGCTATGACCAGTTTGCTGAGGGGTGAGCATTCTGATTGAAACCTTTTTGCTCCCTCCCTGCTAGACCTGTTCTCCAGAGGCCTCAGCAGAGATGTCACCCTTCTTGAGGTCCCAGGGCCTGGCCTTCCCTGCCCTACACCCTGTGGGACATCATCCCTCCCTGCCCCTTCCCTGTGTGCAGGTGCTGTCTCTGGGTGCAGACGTGCTGCCGGAATACAAGTTGCAGGCACCACGTATCCACCGCTGGACCATCTTACACTACAGCCCCTTCAAGGCTGTGTGGGATTGGCTCATTCTGCTGCTGGTCATCTACACAGCTGTCTTCACGCCCTACTCAGCTGCCTTTTTGTTAAAGGAGACAGAGGAGGGCCCCCCGTCCCCTGACTGCGGCTATGCCTGCCAACCACTGGCTGTAGTAGACCTCATCGTGGATATCATGTTCATCGTGGACATCCTCATCAACTTCCGCACCACCTATGTCAATGCCAATGAGGAGGTTGTCAGCCACCCTGGCCGCATTGCTGTCCACTACTTCAAGGGCTGGTTCCTCATTGACATGGTGGCTGCCATCCCTTTTGACCTGCTCATCTTCGGCTCTGGCTCTGAGGAGGTGGGGCTGGCAGGGAAGCAGAGAGGGACAAGAGCAAGTGGGGTCAGGAGAGAAGGTGGTGGGAGGCAGTGGGAGGGAGTGGACAGAGACAGAGCTGGAGTCAAGATAGTGCCCTACTTACCCCTGCTCCTTCTTCTACTCCACCCCTAAAGACCCACTGTTTCTAATTCATACAAAGTACCCGAGAAGCTAATGGGTGTGGCTGTGACCACCCAACGGCTCCTTTATTCTTGCCACGAATATTATAGTCCTCCCTTTACCACAAACTAGCACAGATCCGTGAGACTTTTGTCCTGGCCCAGCTTATTATAGGTACATCATAAAAAAGCAGCTCCTGGTATTAGGAGAAGGTTTTGGGAAGAGGTATTTGAGATCTCACTTTGGATGTCCCCTCTGAAGATGAGGACAGCAGAGCCCCCCAGCCCTCAGTAGCCACTCCCAGTTTGCCCTCACACTGATGGCCCCTCCCTCTCCAGCTGATCGGGCTGCTGAAGACAGCACGGTTGTTGCGGCTGGTGCGTGTGGCACGGAAGCTGGACCGCTACTCAGAGTATGGGGCAGCTGTACTTTTCCTGCTCATGTGCACCTTCGCACTCATTGCACACTGGCTGGCTTGCATCTGGTATGCCATCGGCAACATGGAGCAGCCACATATGGACTCGCGCATCGGCTGGTTGCACAATCTGGGTGACCAGATTGGCAAGCCCTACAACAGTAGTGGCCTAGGCGGCCCCTCCATCAAGGACAAGTATGTCACGGCCCTCTACTTCACCTTCAGCAGCCTCACCAGTGTGGGCTTTGGCAATGTCTCTCCCAACACCAACTCGGAGAAGATCTTCTCCATCTGCGTCATGCTCATTGGCTGTGAGTGAGCCCATGGGGTAGGCAGGGACAAGTTGGTGCTTCCTAGAGTGACTCAAGGTGGAGGATAGTGAAGGGGCTAGTGGGGCTGTCATGGAGCAGCAGAGCAGAAGAGTAAGGCAGGGCAGTAAAGGAAAGTAGAGGGCTTGGTGTGTTTGTGTGCATATTTGTGCTTCTTTGTGTGTGTTTCCACCCCAGTTGCACACAAGCAGGTGTGTGTCATTGATGTGACACAGGGGCTGAGTGAGGGTCCTACAGACACTGACTGCCTGTCTCCCTTCCCCTGCCTCCCAGCACTCATGTATGCTAGCATCTTCGGCAACGTGTCAGCTATTATCCAACGGCTATACTCAGGTACTGCGCGCTACCACACGCAGATGCTGCGCGTGCGGGAGTTCATCCGCTTCCACCAGATCCCAAACCCACTGCGGCAGCGCCTTGAGGAGTACTTCCAGCATGCCTGGTCTTACACCAATGGCATCGACATGAATGCGGTGGGCCACCGGCTGGGCTAGAAAGTGGGACAGGGAGGCCTCCCCGTGGCTGCGTAAGGCTACCTCACTGGCCAAGGCTGTACCTGGTAGTTCAGGGGACCCCTTAGTGTTAAGGATGACCTGAGAGATATGATTGCCCACTTTGCCCATGTGTTCACATATAGTAGAAGGGCTCCCATGGTGGGGCAGGCACTTCCATGCAGGCTGCCACATTTAATCCTTACTGCAGGGAGCATCTTGCCCCGAAGTGGCCTCTTCACAAATAAGAAAATGGACCCTAGGAACAGGAGGGGTGTTCCCAAGGTGGCACAGCTCATCTGGACTGGGGCATGGGAAGGAAAGTGAGGCCTGGAGGGATGGAGTTTTCCTGAGATGGAGGGTGTGGTGGGGAGTGGGGACTCTGGGGCTGTGCTCCAGGTGCCGAGTAGAGGTGGTGCTGAGCTTCCCCCTCCACCCCCCAGGTGCTGAAGGGCTTCCCCGAGTGCCTGCAAGCTGACATCTGCCTGCACCTGAACCGCTCACTGCTGCAGCACTGCAAGCCCTTCCGTGGGGCCACTAAGGGCTGCCTGCGGGCTCTGGCCATGAAGTTCAAGACGACCCATGCGCCCCCTGGGGACACACTGGTGCACGCAGGGGACCTGCTCACTGCCCTATACTTCATCTCACGGGGCTCCATTGAGATACTGCGGGGCGATGTCGTTGTGGCCATCCTAGGTATGGCAGAGGTGGGGGCTGGACCAGATGTGGAGTGGCCAGAGGCCTCAGGGATGCCCATGCTCAGGCACCCCAAGATAGGCAGCCAAGAGAAGCTCTACCTAGGGGGGCTGTTGACCTCACCCTATTCTCCTTGGGGTTTCCCCACAGGCAGTGAGACACCCTGCTTCCTTAAAGCAGGATGAAATTAGACCCTCTGAGGTGGGCAGTGGCAGGAGGAAGGGTCACTTGGGGCTGTACATTGGGTCAGTGAGGGGCCAGCCAGTGGATGCTGTAGCCTCATGCCACAGCCTTGCCTGCCCAGAGGGTATACTGCCCCTTTCCTTTCATTTCTTCTTTCTCCCCACTGTACCTGTGGATTGGGTGCCCAGACTGGGGACATTCTGTCTTCTGCTTGACCTTTCCTTGACTTTTACTCTTTTGACCACAGCTCGTGGTAGGAATTTACAGGATTTTATATCTCAGTTAGCACAAACACACACTTCCTTCACAAACACAACCCACATGCGACTAAAACCATAATTCCCTTATGTACTTGGCTTTACAACACAAAGGAGTTCTGGTGGTTCAGTGCCTAAGGCATTTGATTGTTAACCAGAAGGTTGGCAGTTCAAACCCACCAGCCACTCTGTGGAAGGAAGATGGGGCAATCTACTTCTGTAAAGATTTAATGCCTCCGAAGCCAATGGGGGTGGCTTTGAGTTGGAATCAACTCGATGGCAGTGAGTTTTGTTTTGTTTTTTTTCCTTGGTTTTACTACACTAAGTGGGCCTTATATATTCTGGTATTTTCTGTCCTAGGCTTCCTAAGCTCAGCCATTCTCTTTTCTTTCAGCAAGGTGTTATGATTTGTAGCCTGGAAACCACAGCTTGGGAAAGTTGGTGATTGGGGTGGGAGGATATTTATGATATGGGGTTTTGGGGTAGAAGTGGAAGTAGAACCCAGGGGTGTCAGTGCCATGGGCAGAGTGGAGCCTTTGGGCAAGCTCAGTGGACAGGCTTCAATCACTGGGAGTGCAAGGATCCAAGGCTTCTGTCCTGCCTGTTGGGAGCTGAGAGAGATTGGACTAGTTGTGTGCTGGGTGAGGTGGAGCCAGGCCCAGGAGGGAATGCTTGAAGGGGAGCTGCCAGCTGCCCTTACCTTGAGCTCCCCCTACCTCCTGGCTGGCAGGGAAGAATGACATCTTCGGAGAGCCCCTAAACCTGTATGCACGGCCTGGCAAGTCCAACGGAGATGTGCGTGCCCTCACCTACTGTGACTTGCACAAGATTCACCGGGATGACCTGCTTGAGGTGCTGGACATGTACCCTGAGTTCTCTGACCACTTCTGGTCCAGCTTGGAGATCACCTTCAACCTTCGAGATGTGAGTGGCTTCCCCACTGGGCCTTTATCTCTGGAAGCCCTGTCTTCTGCTCCCAGCTGTGTGGCCACCCCACAGGTTGTGATGTGAGAGTGTGGCTCTTGTTCTGGCCTTAACCTCCCTTTTTGTTTGGTGGTGCTGTGGCCAGACCTGGTTGTGAAGTGCATGTGGCTACTCTCCCAGCCCCACCCTCTAGCTGTCCTGTGTGAATGAGGGACAGAGCCTGACTTGGTGGGGCGGGGCACAACAAGCCCTGAGCCCGGTTTTGATTGCAGACCAACATGATTCCTGGCTCTCCGGGCAGCACAGAACTTGATGGCTTCAGCAGGCAACGTAGGCGCAAGCTGTCATTCCGCAGGCGCACAGACAAGGGTGAGACAAGGAGAGGGAGAGCCCCACAGGTACCCCTGCCTCCTCTTGTGTTCCCTACTCCTTACCCTATCCTTGTAAGCCCAGGTAGTGTAACCTCCTCTGGCAGGGGTAGTGCCTGGGGCTCTACAGTTTTCATGGGACTGGGATTCTGGTGGATGCTGCAGGACAAAGGAAGGCAAGAGGGTTAATGGTGGGGGTCAGAGGCCCCAATAGGCCCGGAGGACCCTGTGCTCTTGTGGCTGAGGGTGGAGGAGAGCTCTGCCTTCTCTGGTTGGCAGTCCACTTGTCCGTGGGGAGAGATAATAGAGGAAACAACTGAGGACAAATAGCCTCCTGCATTGTCCTGTCTCAGCCTTTATAGATTCAGGGGCTCTCCAGTGATGTTATTCTTCCCTTCACCTCCCCTACTTCTCTTGCTTAGAGGCCCTTAATGTTCTCTGTTTCTCACAGACTTCGAGCAGCCAGGGGAGATGTCATCGGCCTTGGGGCCAGGCCAGACAGGAGCAGGGCCGAGTGGCCATGGTCGGCCAGGAGTGCCATGGGGGGAGAGCCCATCTAGTGGCCCCTCCAGCCCTGAGAGCAGTGAGGATGAGGGTCCAGGACACAGTTCCAGCCCCCTCCGTCTGGTGCCCTTCTCCAGCCCCAGGCCCCCTGGAGAGCTGCCAGGTGGAGAGCCCCTGGCCGAGGACTGTGAGAAGCACAGTGACACTTGCAACCCACTGTCAGGTATGAGCCAGATGAAGTAGGGGGCCAGAGTGGACAGTGGGCAGGATAGGGATTGACCTGGCCTCACCTTGACTCTCTGGCTCCAGGTGCCTTCTCAGGTGTGTCCAACATCTTCAGCTTCTGGGGGGACAGTCGGGGTCGCCAGTACCAGGAGCTGCCTCGCTGCCCTGCCACCACCCCCAGCCTCCTCAACATCCCCCTTTCCAGCCCAGGCCACCGACCTCGCGGTGATGTGGAGAGCAGGTTGGATGCCCTCCAGAGGCAGCTCAATAGGTGAGGCCAGGGAGGCAGGTTAGCCTGGCGCTGTGTGTGTATGTGCAGAAAGGGGCTCAAATAGGATACAAGTGTGATGCTCGTGTCTGGATGTGGTTTGCTGGCCATAGTGGTACGGGGAGGAATGTCTGATCTGCCTAAGGCTATCTGTATGTCAGGCATCTGGGCCCTCTCCTTCTATCAGAATTGAGTAGCGGCAGCCACCACAGAGGTAGAAGGAGCCCAGATTGACCAGCTGGCTCCTCAGGAGTGTGGTACCTGAGTTGCAGTGAATGTTGTCTCCTCTTCCCTTGAGACCCAGGTCACCTCCTCCCACATGGCCAACATGTCTGCCCACCCTGCTCCTTCCTGCCCTCAGACTAGAAACCCGGCTGAGTGCAGACATGGCCACTGTGCTGCAGCTGCTACAGAGGCAGATGACACTGGTTCCACCCACCTACAGCGCTGTGACCTCCCCAGGACCTGGCCCCACCTCCACCTCCCCTCTGCTACCTGTCAGCCCTATCCCCATTCTCACCCTGGACTCGCTTTCTCAGGTACGAACCGAGCCCCCAGCCCTGAGTTTTCTGGCCTGATCTCACCCCAGACCCCTGTGCTGCCCTTTCTTCCTGACTCTGTGCCAGGCTACCTCCCTCTGCTGTCTACCCTTCCATAGGGTCTGACTCTGAGGAGGGCTACCTTGGGTGCACCAGGCATGGGGAGAGAGGCCTGAGGGTTGCCACACAACCTGAAGGACCAGCTCTGCTCCTGTGCCTTTGGAGTGGGCCACACGTGGTCTTAGGACCATAGTCTCCTAGAGAGAACGTGATGAAGCCTGAGGTGTGGTTGGGGAAGGGGAGCTGCCTGCTGGTGTGGGGCAGGACTCCAGTCCTTGCTGTGGTCAAACTGAACCCCCACCACCGCTGTGGGACTCTGGCCCTCAGTACTGACTACATAGTAGGGTTTCTGCAGAGGCCTTCCTTAGGTGTTGAGGTGAAGCTCATAGTGGAGGCTTCCTGGGCCTTCATCTCTGCCCTCCTGATGGAAAAGGGGCCTCTGTTGCCCTTTGTTCTCTGCCTGCTGACAGGATAGCTGTCTCTGGGGTGCTTTTGACTCGGTCCCCAGGGCCCTGAGAAGGGGTTTCTTCAGCTTCCTGCTTAGCCCTGATCTGCTCCCTCCCTCTTTCGCTCCTGCCTCCTCTGGCATCTGCTCTCCCTCCCATATGCTGCCTGCTCCTGTTTTCAGACACCAGGGCCCACGTCAGCAAATGTGCCAGTCTCCCCTCACAGACTCCCCCGCTGAGCTCACACTAGCATGTTTGCTGCACACACAGACGCTTTGCCTGCCCTAGCATTCTGCCTGGGCTCCGCAGCCCTAGACTGGCCTGTCTCTGTTTCTAAGTCTCTGAGTTCTTTCTGGACTGGAGGAAGGAAAATTCTCTTTCTGTCCCAGCTTCTGCCCCAACTCAGGGCCTCCTTATCCTAGATTGGGTATGGACTCAGCTATGTTCCCTGGGGAAGGAGGAGGCTATGGCCTGGAATGTTCCATGGGCAAGGCACTCTGTCAGATTGAAATGCTCTTTACTCCTCTGTCTGGTCTGCTGGGAACTCTTTTCTCTCATCCAACCTTAACACCTCTTTTGGTGGTCCTGGTCTGTCTACCTTGAACCTCTGTCTCAGTCTTAAACCCTTCTCTTTGTCTACCTTCCTGCTCCCTCCCCTTCCCACTCCTCCAGGGTTCTCTGCCTACTAATGCTCAGTGTTCTTTACAGGTTTCCCAGTTCATGGCATGTGAGGAGCTCCCCACAGGAGCCCCAAAGCTCCCGCAAGATGGCCCTACCCGACGCCTCTCCCTGCCAGGCCAACTGGGGGCCCTCACCTCCCAACCCCTGCACAGACACGGCTCAGACCCAGGCAGTTAGTGGGGTTGCCCAGTGTGGACACGTGACTCACCCAGGCTCAGGGCATGACTTGGGCCCCTCCCTTCTAATGCCCGTTCACCCCGGCTGTGGCTGTGGATAGCACAGTTTCTCCCCAACCCTCAGGACCATCTCCTCCTGCAGTCTCCTGGGCCCCAGTGGGAGGGGCAGGGGCAGGGCTGGGCAGGGAAGGGGCCTGTGGTCCCACCCTGCCCTGAGGGCATTAGCTGGTCTAACTGCCCGTAGGCACCAGGCCTGGGCCTTAGGCACCTCAAGGACTTTTCTGCTATTTACTGCTCTTATTGTTAAGGATCATAATTAAGGATCATATGAATAATTAATGAAGTTACTGATGACTATGAATAATAAATACTTATGCTGAAGAGACTCTGGTGGTACTGGAGTGGGGTACAGTACTGCCCTTAGCATGCTGGGCTGAATGTCTATATTCAGGACACACTGTATGTGTGTGTATACTGGCCCATTTTTGCAGGAACCCAATGGGAATGACACAGGCCACCTCCAGGCCTTCCTGCCTGCCTTGGGCCTGGGCTCTGGGGAATAATAGCCACACTGGACTGTTTAGAGGTTAGAAATAGCCTTAACGGTATGCAAAACCTGGAGTCCAACCCCCCAGGATCATGGAGATTTTCTGGACGGTAAGCTGACTCCCCAAATCTGGCTCTGCACTGACTGCAGGTGCCATCATACATTTGTCTCCTTACCCAGCACAGAGCCCTGCCGTTGACCAGGTGGAGTTGAAATCCTGAGCCACACTGCCCCTCGCCAACTTGGCCTCATCTTGACCTTAGCCCAGATGCACTATAACCCTAGATGATTGAGTATCCACATGGACTCAACTTTGGGCACACTGGTTTTCCCTACCATGACCAGAGTTGAGCGGATGCCTGGCTGCAGGTGAACTCCACCTCACCTTGATCACAAGAAGGTCAGGACTAGATAAGTGGAAGTTTCCCATTATTAGAGAAACAAGTCTAAAAAGACATCCCGGGGATAGTGAAAAACACTAAGTGTGTGTGTGTGGTTGTATGTGTTGTGTGTGTGATGAGTATGTGTATAGTGTATGTGGGTATTGGTGTGTATGTATATGTGTATCTGGTATGTAGAGTATTTGTGTGTGTGTGTAGTGTAGTGTGTGTGGTGTCTGTGATGTGAGTGTGTATGTGGTATATGTGTGTGTGTATATGTGGTGTGTGGTGTGTGTGATGCGTATGTGTGGGGTGTGTGAGGTATATGGTGTGAGATGTGTGTGGTGTGTGTATGTGGTGTGTGTGTTGTGTGTATGTGTGATGTATATATGAGTGTGTGGTGTAAGTGTGTATGGTATGTGTGTGGCTGCATGATATGTGTGTGGTATGCATGGTGTGGTCTTTGTGTGGTGGTGTGTGTGTAGTGTGTTTGGTGTGGTGTGTGTATAATGTGGCATGTGTGTGTGATGTATATGTGTGTGTTGTGTGTACCTGTGTATGGTGTGTACATGTGTGGTATATGGGTGGAGGGTCCTGTAAGGACACAAAGCTCATGGGAAGAGTGTTGTGGCCACCTCAGGGTCAGCTGATATCCAGTAGGAAGAACCAATGGACCACAGTTTGCTCTGTCTGAGCAGGTTGGTTTGTAATTGAGGCTAAGGCTAAAGGCTTCCCGAGCCCTCAGAGCTGTTTATTACAGCTCTCTCAGAACTGCTGACTCTGAGGTGGGTTTTGTTAACCCTGCTTTTTAAAGACAAACGTGGCTACTTCCGCTGTTTATCCTAAGAGGAAGTGGGTGTCAGGAGTAGAGACCTTGGTCCCTGAGTAGCCTGAAGGGTTCTCTGAAGTCTGGAGAGGAGGCATTCTTTCCCCCAGTTTAGGTGGTTCAGTCCCAGGACCCTGTGCCATGTCTCTGAGGGTATGGCCTTGGAGGAACCTGTGTAAGTCCATTGTGCCCTGGGGGGTCGGGAGAGTCAGCAAGTAGGAAGGACACAGAGGAGCTGGCAGAAGAGCAGCTTTGTGTGTGGGGATACTGGGTTTGTGTCCATGTGAATGTGAGTGCCATATTCTCATGGCTGGGGGATCCAACACAGGCTTTCTTGGCAGTTGATATATGTGAGTGTTGGGTAGGTTGAGTAGGCTGTGCTTTCTGGACTGTGGAGGGCAGGAGCACCAGGAGGCTGACAGACACGAAGGTACAACCAAAGCTCAGGCTTGCATTGCACCCTGGACCTCTGTAAGCATGGTCAAATCCTCACTCTTGCCTGATCTCTTTGTTACCATTTGTACTTAGCGGGTCTTCATCCTGTGAGCTGCAGCCCTGATTCACACTATGTGGTGTCTAGGTGCAGGACTAGGGCTGCCTGCGCCAGATGAGGTGGGTTGTTGGGGGATAGGATATATGGGGGTGGGGTGAGGACTAGCCCAATGAGTCAGGGATGGCTGTTAGTGGGGGCAGGGAGGTAGGGGAGAAAACACCTTTGCTCTCACTTTGTAGGCTTTGAATTAGCTATGAAACTGGTCAGTTCTTTTTTGGGCACCATGCTTTCTTTTTTTTTTTTTTTTAAATGTTAGCACTCATAACTGCCTGCTCCCAGGCAGGTTGTGGAGGTCTGGCATGGACTCTGGTTCTTCCAGAGAAGGAATGTGGGTGTGGTGAAAAACATGTGAAACTGTACACTGTATATTAGTAAGTAAGCACAAGTAAGCCCATGTTTACTTTGCTTATTGGGTAGGTAGTCTGACATGGGGTGTGTGTGTTTGGTGTTGTATGTCTAGTGTGTGTGGTAATTGTGTGTGTTTTGTGTTGTGTGTGTAGTATATCTGTTGTGTGTGTAATTTTTTTTTGTGTGTGGGTGTGCATGCATGTACAGGTATGTGCTAAAATGTGTGACCAGGGACCTCTAAATAGTTGCCCTCGGTTGGAAGCCCTGAAAGCACTTAGGTATCCCCAAAATCCATCCATTTGGTCTAGATGGAGGAACTGCCAGGAGGCTTAGAAACCCTGTGCCTTGTTCCTGCCAGGGAATGCTGAATGAGCTGCTTACTAGGCAGCTACTACCTGACAGCTGGAGATAGGTGCTATGCACATTGCATTGTTTAATCTCTATAATACCGCAGAGAAGTGGGCATTATGATTCCATCTGAGGAGAGTGAGGCTCAGTCAGGCTCGGTGACTGGCTTCAGGTTACATAGCTCATAGGTACCGGGTCTGTGTGACTCTAAAGCCAGTGTAGGGAATTGGGACACACTTTTATGAACCAGCAGCTGCTGGCTGCAGGGGTTGGGTTCAGACCTGGGCCTTGGGGCCTGAGTGGCAGGTAGGCAGGGATGCTGTGAGTGGGGAGTGCAACCTAGTTAGGGCTCTCTCAGCTTCCCATCCCCTGACCAGATGACAGCCCACTCCTCTGCCAATCCAGGGGTAATGCATAGTGCTGTAAACAAGAGCTATACCTGTGGCTCTGGAGTAATCTGCTGGGCTGGTGAAGATCAAGTTCTGGGCAGGATCTGCCCAGAGCAGAAGGCTGCCTAGACCACCCATAGAGGGCCCCAGCTCCACATTCTTACTTAATTGCAGGGACCTGGGGGTCCTTGGGTGTGTGTGGAAGGGGTAGGTGGAGCTCTACCTCTTGAGCTTCTGCAGCCCAAAGCATGGGCTGTATGTCAAGTTATTTCCCCACGGGTAGTCCTTTTCACCTGGCATTGCCACATCTTTACAAGGGTAAGCCTGGGAGACAAGGTGGCTCAACATCATCATCCTATGCCCCCTTTTTTCAAGAAAAAAAAAAGTGTAGGAACTAGAAGGAAAAAGAAAACTGCCTTATTTTTAAGACAGTTATTTGGAATAATAGGACAATTTACATAGACATTTGAACAGACACGTTAATAGAACTAATAAGAGGGTTGCTGGCTGCATGTAAGATCAGCTTAGAAAAATCAGTAATACTTTCTTTACACTACAGTAACCACTGAGAATATGTAACAGAAAATATGATACCATTCATAATACCAACAAGAACTAAAATACCTGAAAAAACAAAAAAAACACACCAGTCTTCTATGGAGGAAATTGGTACCCTCTGTTACAGAAGCTCTAAATAAGTGGAATACTCTATATTGGTGGATGGGACAACTTAATATAAAAAATCAATTCCTTCTAAGTATAATCACAATTGCAATCCTAAATTGAATTCTAATTGTTCTTTTTTAGGAACTCAGTAAAATTATTCTAAAATTTATAAGGAATAATAAATGTTCCCACCTAATTAAGGTAATTTTGAAAGAGAAGACTGAAGAGAAGGACTTATCTATGAGATATGAAGACATATTCCAAAGTGATAATAATAAAACTATGAACCAAAATAGAGAACTCAGAATTAGAACCATGTATACACAAGAACTTGGCTTATGATAAGGGAGGCACTGTGAGTCAGTGGGAATTAAAGAGCTTGTTTAGTAAATTACTTTTGGGAAAACTTGTTTTTTATATGGAGGGTGGGGTGGGAGTTGAATTCTTACCATATACCATAAACAAAGATGAATTGAATACCTAAATTAAAGAAATAACTATAAGGCTAATAGAAAAAACGTGTAGACTGAGAGATTTAATACCTAGGATGGACTTTAAAACTGCCTGGTTGTGCACCATCCTCACAATTCTTGCTATACTTCAGCCCATCATTGTAGTCACTGTGTCAGTCCATCTTGTTGAGGGTCTTCACCTTTTTGCTGATCCTCCACTTTATGAAGCATGATATTCTTCCCCAGGGAATGGTCCCTTCTCACCACATGACCAAAGTAGATGAGATGAAGTCTGGTCATTCTTGCTTCCAAGGAGCATTCTGGCTGCACTTTGTCCAGGTTTGTTCGTCCTTCTGGCAGTCCATGAGACTTTCAGTATTCTTTGCTACCATCACAACACAACTCAAAAGCATCAACTGTTTTTTGGTCTTCCTTTATTCGTTGTCCAGCTTTCACATGCATATGAGGTGACTGAAAATACCATAGCTTGGATTAAGAGCACCTTAGTCTTCAAAGTGACATCTTTGCTCTTCAGCACTTTAAAGAGGTCTTTTAAAGGAGATTTGCTCAGTGCAATAGGATGTCTGACTTCTTGACTGCTGCTTCCATGGGTGGTGATTGTGAATCCAAGTAATATGAAATCTTTGACAACTTCAAACTTTTCTCTATTTATTGTGATGCTCCAGTTGTGAGTTTTCATTTTCTTTATGTTGAAGTGTAATCAATACTGCAGACTAGTCTTTAATCTTCATTAGTAAGTGCTTCAAGGCATTTTCACTTTCAGCAAGCAAGGTTGTGTCATCTACATATTGCAGGTTGTAAATTAGTCTTCCTCCAATCCTCATGCAGCTTTCCTTTTCATATAGCCCAGATTCTCAG